TAAGAGTTATTAACTATTGGAACAAACTACCAATGAAGTGGTGGATTCTCCATCTCTTGATGCCTTCAACCATAGAGTGACTAAAATCTAACACAAGTTCCTGGACTCAGTTCAGGGTAACTGGGTGCAATTCTTTGGCCTGTGTTATACAAGTCAGATTTAATGGTTTAATGGTCCCTTTCAGCCTTAAAAACACTATGAGTTTATAACAATTACAATTACTCTAGGGTCCTCATACCAATTTAAGGGGAGGTCCCGTCTATTTAGACAAAACTCACTATGTGTATATAATATAATCAGCATAATAATAATACCCAGCTCTTATATAGCACTTTTCATCCATAGACCTCAAATTGCTGTACAAATGTCAGTATCATTCTGCCCATTTTACAGATTGGGAAGTGGAGGCACAAGAAGAAATGAGACTTGCCCAAGGTCACCAAGCAACACTGTGGCAGAACTGGGAATTGAACCCTAGTCTCCTTCGTCACAAGTCCAATGCCCTGAACACATTGTTTCCCCATAGATACATAAATATGTTATTAAAAGAAGATTAAAGTTGCAGTCAAGCACTCAAATTTAACCATAGTTCTGGCATTTCCTACCCATGCAACCTTAATTCTGCCCCCTTGTGCAGAAGTATTGAGATGGTCTTTAATTACATGATCATATGCTATTTCCCCCCACATGGATAGGCAGCAGGGTTTGAACTCAGGACCTTCAAATACGGAACACAGAACTCTTGCACTTGAACTAAACAAGCAACTAGTATAAGAAGTAGGTTGTTATCTTCTGTGTGGAATAGTCCCTAGAGGTGGGCAACACCCACTTTCCCAGTGGATTAAACAAGTGTTTCAGAGGCAGCAGTGGGCTGTTCGATATACAGCTCCCTAGGTCTTGATCCTGGTTCTGGAAGGAGAGTGCCATCTAATGGTTAGGGCTGTGGTTAGAGAGAGGTCAGCTACATCCACAGATTTAGCACGTTCAGCCTAAAAGGCTGGGTGGTTCAGTGGTGAGACTAGGTTCTATCATACGACAGATGTGGATTCTATTCCCTGCCCTCCCTGCTGTGACCTTGTTATTTGTAAAATGGGAAGGGGGAATGATAGTTGCTGACTCCTGGGATAGGAATCTGAGGCTTTGGTAAGTGCTAAGAGTTGTGAACTGTACAGAAAATGTTAACAGCACTCAACTGAAAAGGAAACCAAGAAACACAAGGTCTTCTAGCCCAACCCAAATCCCCTTCCTCACCTGGGCAAAGGCTGTTCAGTGGAGGAGTCTCAATCTCTGTGAAATGCATGACACTTTACCTGAGATACACATACGGTTGCCAAATGCGTGTGTCATACAAGATGTATAACCCCTGACACACCTACTTCCTAGCCCTTTCACTAGCCTGCCCTGTGACAGCCTTCTGCTGCTGGCCCCACCCTCTGAATCACGGAATAACCTCAGTAGGAAGAGGGCTTCTTCATGTTGCCAAGAAGAAAAAGGGTAAGAGTGAAAGAGAGGCCCCAGCCATTCTCAAATTAAAACAATTTACCAGGTTTGACCATTTACTGCTTTCTAAAAAGGGATTTTCAGAGGCAATGTCAAAGGAGTGCAACTGCTATGATATTCAGAGTATGCCTGCAACCTCTGCCAGCCCAAGCCAAGGGACTCTAGTGGAGCAAACCTTAGCCTCAATAGGAAAGGGATACTTTGAAAGGAGGAAGTGAAGGGCTGTTCACCTCTCTCTCCTTGGAAGACTTCTGGAGGTTAAACACTGGCTGCACTGCTGGCAGTCCCCTCTCCCTCCTCCTCATGCTGGAAGGGGGAGGAAAGCAGTGCGGCAGCTGCAAAAGGTTTTAAATATCAAAAGCACGTAGGACCCTTGTTATAAGCGGATGTGGAATGCTAGATCTAGGAAAGTGGTGAGCTAGTAATGCCCTGCAGGAAATATTCTGAAGGATAATGTCACATGCTTGTGAGAGGACCAACGGGGAGGGCGGGGGGAGCAGAGATACAGGCTTAGCTGCACCCTAAAAATGAAATGATTTGCTGTGCTCCCCACAGCCTAAATGCTTCCCCCAAATTACAGACATTCTGATGTGCTTACAATACAAGAAAAGTCATTTAAAACAATTTGGAAAGAAAAATATGTAACAAAAAAAGAATGAAATCAGAATGAGGATTCACATTTTTAATACACTAAAATATAAATCGAAGCATTTTGCCTTTAATAGTATTGAACATAGTCACCTCATTTTCCATTTGTCAAAAATGTCAACATTAACAGGAGTTTTGCATACAGATATAGGTGATGGTCTGTAAGTAATTATGTATAAAGCTATGTAATTTGTGATTGGTTTGGAACACTGCCTCTGACTCTCTAAGGACTTTTTCCTGCAGAGGCTAGCGTTCAGCTCATGGCAGACTGTTACACAGGAAATAGTGCATTCATGGAGATAATTTATATCAGGGGTGACCAAACTTACTGGCCCTCCGAGCCACATATGACAAATCTTCAGAAGTTCGAGAGCTGGGGCACATCTGCTGGGAGCCAGGGGCTGGAGCTTCAGCCCTGCTTCTGCTGAAGCCCCGAGCCCTGGCAGGTGTTCTCTGTAAGACTGAAGCCCTGAGGCCCCTCATCCCTGTTGGGCAGAAGCCCCGAGACCTCCCCTCCCCACTGGGAGAAGCCCCTATTGCACACCCCGTTGCAAGGCAGAGGTTCTGAGCTCCCCCGTCCCCCAAAGACTGGTAGGTGGAAAACAGGAGGACATGGGGGGCTCCACAAGCCACAATTTAATGGTAAAAGAGCTGCATGTGGCTTGTAAGCCACAGTTTGACCACCCCGATTTATATGATAGCAGTGCTTGCAGGCCCTAATAAGGATCATGGCCCTTTTGTTTGTCTCAATCTAAAATAAATCACAGAGTCTGAAAGTATAGCATGGTTTGTGTGTATGGAAGTATAAATATTCCCACCTTGAATCAAGTCTAGTTTGTTAAGTTTTAGTACTAGGAAGTATTTTATCTCAATTTCTCTTGTAACCATTTTTGCCTTTAATGGCTTATGTTTGTATTCCCTTGAATCCTATCTCCTTGTAGTTAAATAAACTTGTTTTATTTTTTAATGAAAACTAATCCAGTGTTGTGAACTGTGTGGGTAACTCTATTTAGGGTGGCAAACTGTAATATATTGATCCTTTGAGAGGGGCAATAGACCTAATATATCTGGACTGGCCAGGAGAGGCTGGACAGTGCAGAACACACATTTTGGAAGAAAATCCAGGATTGGGAATGTGTTGGGATCACCGTGCAAGTGGTAACCAAGGGTGCTGTAAGCTAGAGTGTGGCTGGTGTTTGCTGACAGACTACTGGAATCAGAGTTGCTGAACCAGGGCTATGGCTATACACAAACACTCAGGGTGCAACCTACATGCTGGTAGGCTGTGTGCAGCCCAGGTTGGAGCTACAGCAGCAAAGCATCGTGAGGCACCCAAAGGTGCAGAGCAATGGTGGCAATACCTCATTGGTCTGAACTGCACCTTGGAATATCATATGCCCTCTTGGTTATTTGCATAAATTCTTGAAAAATACACATATCCCTACCAAAGGAAGCACAGTGAGGGTTTTTGTTTGGTTTGGTTTTTGGGGGTTTTATTTGCAAAGTATATCAAATCATTTATACTGATATCTGAAAAGAGCTGAATCTAGGAATGTTCTTTGGACATTCACTAGAGTCAATATTCTTGTTCTTAAGTAGCTGCACCCATTCAGATATTCTTGACCTATTCCCACTTTCCACAGACAGCTCCTTTCAACTGCTGGCTGGGAAGCTGTGGATTTAAGTTTTGGGGAGATTATAGTCTTCTTCAAAATATACTTTATTCCTTTGTACATGCACAGAAGCATGTAAGAAGCTTAGCATAAATAGATATTCATATCTTTAACGGCTTGTAAATGTCCTTTTAATGCACCTGAAACTTCCCTTTGCATATCATGTGGACTGGGATTACTTAATAGAATTTAGCACTTTCATTTTCAAAGTACTTTATAAATTTTGATCTTCAAAACTTATTTTATATAAAAAATCCAAAATAAAAAACAGTCTTGATTTCTGTTATATATTGTCTTAGCTTCAGCCTTTTTTTGGCAATCAATTATCTATTTTCTCTTTTTCTTAAGGCACTGTAAATTAATTTATCAACATTCAACAATGATTGATAGCTGGATGTAAAAATTCTTAAACTGACTTTGATTACTAAATGTAATGTAAGAAGCTTTTTGGAATTGTTAAATATGGTCAAATGACTAGGAAGTGGTATATTCCGGAACTATATGAATGGTCGGAAATATAATGTTTCTGATACGTATGGACTGATGGAAGATGAGGGAGCTCAACACTGTTTAAAACCAGGCCAGTAGTATTTAGGGATATAGTAGCATAATATTATGTTCTCATGATGTTGGCACCCCCTTGTCTCTGGTCAGGACCTTGCACAAGAACTAGTCTCTGGAGCCCCCTCCTGGGCCCTTCCCTGCCCTGCAATGACCTTTCCCAGCCTTTGTCTTCTCCCAGCTCACCTCCAGCCAAGTCACATGAAAGTCTAAATCTCTTCTGGGGTAGCACAAACAAGTCCAAATCAAAGTCCAAACAAATCTTTAACTAATGCCCTTCTCTTGTTGGCCCCATCTTAGGGATTCCCCTGCAGGAACCTAACCAGCTCCAGTAGAGTTCTTCCTCCTGTGTTTCCTGTCCGTTAAAACCTATCCCATGGTTCTCTACACCGAGACACCTGTCTCCCTAACTGAGCTCCCTTAGGCTACATCCTCATTACGGGAGGGTGCGGGGGGGGGATGTCGATTTAAGATGCGCAAATTCAGCTACGCGAATAGCGTAGCTGAATTCGACGTATCCGAGCCGACTTACCCCACTGTGAGGACAGCGGCAAATCGACCTCCGCGGCTCCCCCATCGACGGCGCTTAATCCTACCTGTGCTGGTGGAGTACAAGCATCGATTCGGGGATTGATTGTCGTGTCCCGACGAGACCCGATAATTCGATCCCCGAGAGATCCATTTCTACCCGCCGATTCAGGCAGGTAGTGAAGACGTAGCCTGAATCTACTTATAAGAACGAGCTCCGCCTTCTTTGGCCAGGAGGTAGTTAATCATCCCTCAGATGCAGAGTATGACCAATTGGAGTTCTTAACCTTGCTTGATGGGGCTTAATCCCCCCATCACCTATCGCAAGTGGTGAATGGGGCCATGACTTGGGTAATAATTCTGAATTCATATTTCTACTCTGGAAGAGATGGATTGATGCAATAGTCCTGTAATTTCATTTTACAAGCAATTATCTCAATCCATATCAACTGGGAATTATACACACACTATTGTGTGCATAACTGTAACAAATGAACTAGATGGAGGAAGTAAAGCATGTTACACAGCTCTTCCTTTGAAGTAAACAAACAGCAGTGATACTATACCCATAAGTGATATGGGGCAGAATGGATCCCAAAGATTTCCTTTATTTTGAGAAAACAAAGTAAATTAAAATAAAATCTTGCCTGTTCTGGCCCTAGTTTTCAACGAATAATACATACCGTCAGCATATTGTGTAACAGTCCCTCTAAAATTAATCAATATATGGTAAGAATTTGTAGCTAGATTATTCAGAGATACCTTTATGTTCTCAGATATCCGTGGACATTCTCAGTTGGAGTACCATTTCATGAGCATACATACTTTCCAATTGTTCTCCATTAAAAAGACTCAAAGGTAGGGTCACTTAGTCTGACACCAAATCCTGTGTTTCCACACACAACTGGTAGTTTCTGCTTTTCATTGTTATAAAATACTGACGGGCGACGTGTAGAGCTATAATGTGTAGAGTTATAAAAGTATGGTAAAAATTATAGACTGCTCATACAATGCTTCTGTGTCTCCTTTAGAGTTGCTTGCTAAACTAATTTTCATTATACCCCTCCATAGTTCAGGGTTGGCTTAAATATTGTACAGGAAAAAATGACATGATTCCCAATTGTCACAATGAAGGACTATTTGTTATATGCAGTATTTTACAGCACAGTAGATTAATGTGTTTTGGAACCAAATACTAAAAAGAAGAAACAAGGTAATCTTAGAAAATGAAACTGAAAGATCACTATCAATTGTTACTTTGCTTTATATAACATTGCTTTGGAAGTTAAACTATTAGTAAGTGTAAGATATTACTCTTACTAATTTTGTTTGCTTTTCTTAATATACCTAGGCAGGAAAAGGTTCAAAGGAACTCTTCCAATGGAGAAGATATATTATTCATCCAGGAATTCGGCAGAAAATGCCGGAATGTCTGCAACGTCCGTAAGAGCTTAAAATGTTCTGCCTCTTGTTTAAAAAGTGTGGAGTTTGAGGGGAGAGGACTTGGATGAACATTAGATCTTAGCCTAGTTTTTCCATAAGAGATGAAGGCAGGCACTCAGGCGCTATGATGAGAACATAAACATACAACTGAAATAGGATATGGTTGATATTTATGTAAGGGAGTCAGTGTTTAGAACACTGGCCACGCCACTAATTTGCATTCTGTGTATCTAATTATACTTTTGAATATTTTGGTTGTGTCTTGTTGTTCTGGAGGAAAATGAAACATTTGAAGTACAATCCAATATATTATTAATAATAACTGATGTTGGTATAAATGGATAATGGAGACAAATGTAGAATAACATTTTTTCCTTCTTTTTCCTCTGAATCTATTCCCTTGTTTTGTATTGTGCCTCATCATTCAGCTAGCTAATTACCTCCTTCTCTTTGTGAATGCATTCACCTTTCTTTTTCATCAGTCTTACAACTCTGGAGGTTTTCTATCATTTGGCAATTAAGGATGTTTTTTGAGTTTCAGAGCTCTTAAGCCTGTTTTCCACACAAATTGTGGTCCAAGAAAAAACAACACATTGCTAATCTGAAAGAGAATGAACTTGTGTACATACACATAGCAGAAATCAGATCTGTTTTGTTTCACCCTACCTCCAATGGACGATACCAATGCTGGGCTCAGGTTCATCACCTGAAAAGTCAAACCGTGTAAATCAAATGTGATTGGGGATGGAATGTTACTTTGGTTGGGGAAAATTAACATAGGAAAGTAAATTCAAAGCAGTCAAACAAAGATGCTAAAGTAGCTCTAAGCAAATGGATAAAGTCATGTTTCAGACAGATTAAGCACAGTTATGCACTATTATGACACAACAATGGCTTTGTAATAAAAATATGAGCAGGCAAGGTCAGAATCCCTAGCACTAGTTACACTAGCACAGCAATTCATTTCTTCTGCTTGTGGAGCTAGGGTTGTCCATGAGACCTTCTCAAGACTCAAGTCATAGAACAATGATGGTGGCTTTGAGGATTATTGTGCACGTAATTCTCCTGGTTTAATTAAAGGTTCCCTACTGGAAGGTGGAGTAAAAAGGGTCTGCTGTGGTGCATAGAAAGAGCATGTATGAACTATCACCTATATGCCAATACCTACTAGTAGCAAACCATCATAATTATGTTGTATAGTAAGCATTACAATTAAGTCTTAGTTGTACATCTTTAAGAAGTCAACCTCCCAGAATTTTACCTGTTCAAACTCCTCCATGTCCACTTCACCATCACCATTCAAATCAAACATCTTGAAGGCAATTTCAAAATTCCTCTGGGGAGCTATATAGGAAGAAACGTAATTAAAATGAAAAATACTGACCAGTAAACAATATTCATTTGAATTAAGAAAGCAACAGAAATTAGATTAGAAAGGAATATTTGCTGCTAGCTGATCAAAAATGTATTATTGTATCCACAAGCAGCTTTGTTTAAGTCTTGTAATATACCTCTATCAGAAATGTATGTAATTTTCTACTTCACTCCCGGAAGATCTTTGTCGTTCGTTCATTCATTCAATATTTTCCCTATCCTTAGAGAGGCTCCTAATCTTGGCCTCCACCCCTCTCGCTGAGAACTCTGTAGGACTCCCTATGAATATGTACATGTAAATACACAAGGGGAAAAGATGCTTTTAAAAATTTCAGTTAATTAAAACCTTTTCCTTTCAACTGAAGGCTGAGAAAGCTCACTCCAGTTCTCTACACTCTACTCCAGCAACATTATAGAGACGTTAACATCTGATATTCCTAATATATAAAAACCATTAGAAATAAATTTGGAGCAGGTGTTCAGGCCATCCCTGCAAACGGGTACAATTATTTTTGTTTTTGCAGATCAACTTTAACACTTTGTGGAGTGGCAAATGTGTCTGGTACATACGGCATGGAACTGGAAGTCTGGCAACCTGAGTTCTATTACAGGCTCTGCCTTTGGCTCACTGTGTGACTTTAAGCAAGTCACTTAACCATCTCTGCCTCAGATAGCCCATCTGTAAAATGGAGATGCTACATTTGTAAAAGTATAATGTACTGACAGTTTTGGGGATAGAGGTCTTCAAATGTCAAATATAGCAACATCAACCTTAGTGCAAACTATCCCATAAAATACCACTAATGAGCCTCAGGGCTTGGCTACACTTGGGAATTCACAGCGCTGCCGCGGAAGCACTGTGAAGCGCAAGTGTAGTTGAGCCGCCAGCGCTGCGAGAGAGCTCCCGCAGCGCTGTATGTACTCCACCTCTCCGAGGGGAGTAGCTTGCAGCGCTGCAGACACTGATTACACTGGCGCTTTACAGCGCTGTACTCGCTGCGCTCAGGGGGGTGTTTTTTCCCCCCCTGAGCGCAGCAAGTTGCAGCGCTGTACAGCACCAGTGTAGCCAAAGCTACACAGCCCTAATGTGGGCATGCCACCAAATAATGTGCATACTTCAGTTTCCAGACATAATTAAATCCTGGATGCTCCGTGGCTGAGACTTGGCGCAATTTTTGTACTTAGGTGGATTACACAATTTTCTTTATTGTAAAGTGTTCCTAAATCCAATATGACTGAATTTTTTGCTAATTAGGGCTGTTGATTAATCGCAGTTAACTCACGCAATTAGCTCAAAAAAATTAATCACACTATTAAACAATAATAGAATACCAATTGAAATTTATTAAATATTTTTGGATGTTTTTCCTACACTTTCAAATATACTGATTTCAATTACAACACAGAATAAAAAGTGTCCAGTGTTCACTTTATATTATTTTTGATTACAAATAGTTGCACTGTAAAAATGATAAACAAAAGAAATAGCATTTTTCAATTCACCTCATACAAGTACTGTCGTGCAATCTCTATCATGAAAGCACAACTTACAAATGTTGATTTTTTTGTTACAAAACTGCACTCAAAAACAAAACAATGTAAAACTTTAGTGCCAACAAGTCCACTTAGTCCTACTTCTTGTTCAGCCAATTGCTAAGACAAACAAGTTTGTTTGCATTTATGGGAGATAATGGTGCCTGCTTCTTATTTACAATGTAACCTGAAAGTGAGAACAGGCGTTCGCATGGCACTTTTGTAGCACGCATTGCAAGGTATTTACATAGCAGATACGCTAAACATTCCTATGCCCCTTCATGCTTCAGCCAACATTCCAGAGGATATGCTTCCATGCTGATGATGCTTGTTAAAAAAATAATGCGTTAATTAAATTTATGACTGAACTCCTTGGGGAAGAACTGTACGTCTCCTGCTCTGTTTTACCCACATTCTGCCATATATTTCATGTTATAGCAGTCTCGGATGACACGTTGCTCATTTTAAGAACACTTTCACTACAGATCTGGCAAAACACAAAGAAGGTACCAATGTGAGATTTCTAAAGATAGCCATAGCACTCGACCCAAGGTTTAAGAATCTGAAGTGCCTTCCAAAATCTGAGAGGGACAAGGTGTGGCGCATGCTCTCAGAAGTCCTTGTGACATACTATTCCTTGGGGGAGCATCTTGTAACCCCCATATTTGTCATCTGTATATAAGTGTGATATTGCATATAAAGCATGCCCTGTGAGGGATCAGGGAAAAGGTTATGATTGGCTGAAAGTCATTGTTCTATCTAAATATGTATATCTTTAGTGCATATGGAGTTATGAGATTGTGTTATATGGCTGTCACTAAAATATGCTGTAAATTGGGGAACCAGCCAGACATTAGCTCCTCAGAGGCAACAGCAAGGAAAGTAACCAACGCCCAGGCGGGGAGTCAAACAATCAACAGCCATTGTCCAGCAAAGGAGCTACAATTCAATGATTCACCCGTATAAGGCCACACTAAGGGAATTGCTCAACATTGCCTGGGGACTCAACAATGCCCCCAGACATGCCTGGACTTGTGTTCTCCAAGCACATGGACTAAGGGTATAAAACAGAACATGGGGGCCCATGCTTCGCCTTTCACCTGCCCTGACCTATGCTGCAAGCAACAAGTACACTAAGAAGACTTAAAACTCCAAGAGAGGGGACTGGCCCAGGTTTCAAGAGTGAAACCTGTATACTATGGACTGCAATATCCAGTGGGGTGAGAAAAACTGCTGAATCTTGGTGTTACTCAGTCTAATAGGATTTAGAGTTTAGATTGTGTGCTTATATTTTATTTCTTTTGGTAACCAACTCTGACTTTTTGCTTATAACTTATGATAAAACTTAAAATATATCTTTGTAGTCAATAAACTTCTTTTACTGTTTATCTTTACCAGTGAGTTTCCCTGAAGTGTGTGGTAAATCTGCTCAGATTTGCAAAGGCTCGTGTATATATCCAATTGATGAAGTGGTGAACCAATTAATAAATTTGCACTGATTGTCTTGAGCAGTGCAAGACGTTCTATTCCTGAGGTATAAGGCTGGAAGCTGGGGGGATTTGGCTGGTGCTTTGCTCTGAGTGATTCATGAGTGGCTCTGGGACAAAAGCGTCTGTGCTTTACTGCTGACAAATTCAGTAGGCCAAATGTAGAGAATGTGTTAAGATAGCTTGCTGAATAACATTTAAGCAGATGTACAGCACCACTAAACTTGACTTCAAGGATACCCTGCCATCAGGCCACTTGATGTACACAGCATACGTAATTCTGCAGTTTTAAGTTTCTGTATTTCCAATTACTCTATTAAATGTGCCATTTATTTTTGCTCTGAATTATAAGGGTCAAAACACCAGGTAGATAATACTTCCAGAGCCTCAAGAAGTGTGCCCTATAATCATGTTTCTGCAGTGAATGATTCCTCAGGCTGGGCTGCACTATAGTCTCAAGCCCTGGTTCTTGGGTGGATATTACCCACTCTATCTTGATTTATCTGGAGTGAATTTATGATTCGGGCAATAAGCTATTTCACAACCTCTGCAAGAATGAGATTCTGATTTTAAAAATTCTCTCCTTGCATCCTTCCAATTCTTTCCTTGCTTTCTTGAAGAGCATGAATATTAACTACCATCCCAGCCACTTTGCAAAGTTTAAGTACTACATTCAATTTGATTCTCTTACATAATAAGTATTGTGTGAAATCCTCTGAGCAATTTTTTTGTTTTTTTCAGTTCACAGATCTAGTCCTGTGCTGAACAGACTGATTACGCTGATGGAGAAAAAAGGGGATATGGAGAACTGAAACCCAGTTAGAGAGTGATAATAAAAACAATTACACACCTTAGTTTTTCCCTCAGCCTCACTTCTGGGATACAACAAGATAAATTTTTAGCTAAGAACATTTGTTTTCCCCCTTTGTTAAAATTCTAGGACTGTTTTCATAAAAAAATACAGTACCCTATTCTCTCTCACACACACTGGGTAAACACAGAGAACAAGGAACTCAACTTATCCTTTAGAAAAGCTTTTTCTCCCCTTCCCTAAATATATATATAAAAGATATATTTTAAGAAAACAGTTTATAAAACCAGAATAGAAGTCTACCACTTGCAAAATTAAAGTTAAAAACACATGGCAGTTACATCTTAGGAAAATCTGCAGGATCAGGTAGCTTTTTAAGAGGAAAAATTTTAAATTAACTAACCCAATAATTAATATACTTAACTTTTAAATAATCTAAGCAATCTATTTCCTCCTTTAATATGGATGCCTAACTGCCATAATTTTTATGGAGCACTAGATGCACATAATAAATGGAAATCAGAATCAGATAACCTAGAAAATAGAAAGACCTATTAGGTCATCTAGCTCTTACCCATTCTAGTGCAGGATTGTTGTCTACAGTACATATTCTAGTCCTCTGGCCAGCATAATTTTTAAGGTTCCAAGTCATATGATTTTAACATCTTCTTTTGGATGTATCGATTCCACAATCGAATACATATTGCTATCAGAATTATTTCCTGATATAAAGCCAACATTTCCCTTCTACTTTGAATTATACCACCTTGTACTACTCAGTTCTCTTTCTCCTAGATAAGTACATCCTTCAGATATTTGTAGCTAGTTAGGTCTGCCCATCTTGGTTGTAGCTTAGACAACTTAAACATTGTTAGATCTTTACTTATGGGTCAGTCTCTTCAGCCTCATAATCATGTGCCATTCTTCTTGGAAATCTCTCAGATACTGAGACGCCCAAACACTGAATGCAGTCTTCTACCTGAAGTTGTCATCAAAGCCATTTAAAGAGCAATTATTGTAACCCAACAACCTCTTAATATCAACTGTCAAAGGAGTGCAGAGGGTCTACAAGAATCTCCTGATTCTGATACGTACAATCTGGTTCACCAAAAAATGTCACGTGAGGTCTCAAATAAAAG